AATGTCCAATTCCATTATTCCGTGGCTGCTGTCCAAAATTCGCAAATATATACAAATACCTGTGAGCCCATAAACATTCTTACAAATAAATATAAAAAGTGTAAGTACCAAAACACACGTACTGAACACAACATACACCCATGTATCTGTGTACACTTATACACACCAAATAAAAGTAGCAGCGTGATTAAATTATTTCTTTCATTTTCCTCAGCTCCGGCAACGTGTTTATTTCGTACGGTATACTTATTATTTTACAAATAATTTGTTCCGCAGCACGACTCTTTTGTCCCAGGAACCAAAGTTTCCACGCCTATATTTTTCAAGTTTAAATATGACTATTCCAGTCGGCACTTCTATCTGGCACACAAGGGTACATCACAACAATTTTCTATAATATTCAAATCAGCAGACTGACTTGGACAATTTTCGAAATGTACGATGTCCTTTCCTCTTAAATAATTTATGGTCGTCTTCCAAATATGACAGCTCGTACTATTGAAAAATGTATGAATTTTCATATATTGGGTATATGCTTTCATCGAGTATATAGGTTAATAGGCTTTCGAGTTTGCGTTACCATTTTGTAAAATTATAACATTTTTGACATTTCATACCGACGCTGATTATATTCTCCATACATTTTTTATAAAATAAGGAGTTAGGGAGCTTATAGTATATATATCGTGCAGGGGAAAAGTTTAATTCGTCGTTTGTCTGAGAAAAATATTTAGAACTAAATATAACCTCTGATCTAATATATTTCAGTCATTATAGCTTTATTTTCTATTTAAATAAAGCGCAGTGTACGTGTGTCCGTCCGTCCGTTTTTTGATCTCGGTGAATCATAAACGATCTGAAGTAACAGGTTGTAACCACTGTTACACGTGATTTAAAGTTAAATTTAAATATCGAACAGAAAGGTTTTAAAAAATAATTCTTTATTAAATGATCAACTTTAATTTCGCTTTTCGTCGCAAGTAACACTTCGTCTAATTAAAAAAAAAATTTTAAATTATTAAATCGTAGTTAAAACTTAACCAGGGCACAGTACGTTGCTCATATGCTTTTTTTTCTTTTTCTAGCAACTGTGAAATATTCGAAATATTACATAGTTCGTGTTCCCTAATGTCTTTATGCGAAGAGATCATAAAAATTGATGATTTTAAAAGAAAAGAAAATTGCGTGTAAAATAATTGCGAAGAAACTATGGAAATCGGTTGTGTATACGAAGAAAGATTATGCCGAATTAAGGTATCGAATAAACATAAATTAATTTTATTATTTCTAAATTAATATTACTTTTACATGCATAAAACACTGAAAACGGTAAAAGACCGAAGGCCTAAAAAGCCTTCTGTATGAGTAAAAGGCGGCTTCTAGGTTAGATCATAATAAAACCCACCACATGCTTCCATCGTACTTTTGCCGGGAATGTTTTTAAAAATATTAAGCTCAAGTCCCTGAGGGAAGCATCCACCAGACAGTACTTTTCCTACGGAAGGGGGCTGAAGTCACTGCCTCGCCTGAGGCGTTTCCAAATGGGAAAGTGCTGAGGACGTTTGAGAATTTTTTCCATGGTATTGCCATTAAACTCACTTTAAACTTCGACCTTGTGTCACACGCGGTAGCGACGTTAGCGCGCTGAAAAATTCAACGATAATAGAAAAGACATTTCCCTTCACAAGTTTAAGAAACCTTTTCCGGAGCGTTATTCATTATTGTCCAAATTAAGTCTATATTTCCAATTTGTAGTCACCTTACACCCAGTGTTTTATCCATCAGAAAGAAAAGGCACAAAACTCAACAACTGTTTTATCGTCTGACCCTTTATATAATAAACGCGAATGTCAGTGTGTCACTGTGTAAGACTTTTTCAACTTTAGTCCTAGAGGCCATAAGCCCAGCCATTGTGGAATCAAGCCGACTCCGTAAGCAAATTGAAAACATTCCGAGCCGGATACGGAATGGCAGTCCTGAAACTTTAAATTCACAAGTTTTCAGATTCCACCATCTTTGCTTCTACTGATAAAACAATTAAAGGGATGAAACTCTCTAACTTTCAATAGCTCATGTTACAGAAACTTTAAATTCACAAGTTTTCATTATTGCGATGTTTTCAGATTCCACCATCTTTGCTTCTACTGATAAAACAATTAAAGGGATGAAACTCTCTAACTTTCAATAGCTCATGTTACAGAAACTTTAAATTCACAAGTTTTTTCATTATTGCGATGTTTTCAGATTCCACCATCTTTGCTTCTACTGATAAAACAATTAAAGGGATGAAACTCTCTAACTTTCAATAGCTCATGTTACAGAAACTTTAAATTCCAAAGTTTTCATTATTGCGATGTTTTCAGATTCCACCATCTTTGCTTCTACTGATAAAACAATTAAAGGGATGAAACTCTCTAACTTTCAATAGCTCATGTTACAGAAACTTTAAATTCACAAGTTTTCAGATTCCACCATCTTTGCTTCTACTGATAAAACAATTAAAGGGATGTAACTCTCTAACTTTCAATAGCTCATGTTACAGAAATTTTGGATTCCCAAGTTTTCATTACTGCAATTGTTTTCGTCGATTTTTTTACTGGATTTTTTTGCGATGAAATCTTTTGTAAGATATTAAATTGGAAATGAATTTGGAAATAATAGAAATTAATTGCGAAATGCAGCGAAAGTCACCCATAAAATAAAAATAATTGTTTGTACAAAGAGTAAGGACCTACGTACATCAAATTATCTCTAAATTAAGTAACGACAGAAGTATCGTTGAACTTTTAAAAGTTAAGCTTAAATATTAATGCAATGCTTAAATGGAGCAATCAATTTTGAGTTCTTCTGTAGTTTATTGTTGCCTATCGCATACGGCAGCAATATGCCTCGCAAAAAGAAATCTCCGCCAACAGAGGACAAGATTGCAATCAAAAGAACCAAGTCTGCAACGAGAAAAAAGAAAGTCCCATGTAAAGGAAAAGCCAGATTAAACGGCAGACAGGAGTGATTCCAATGCTGAGAATAGGCAAAGACTTGGTAACTCTCAAACTCCCGAACAAGCTGAAGTCCTAATCAAGAGCTAGCTTAAATGCTGCTTATATGGGCGTCTTTTAAGCTAGAAGGAAAATATTCCTTTTCACAACTAGTAATGAATGAGTGGAATCCTCTCTCTCTCTCTCTCTCTCTCTCTCTCTCTCTCTCTCTCTCTCTCTCTCTCTCTCTCTCTCTCTCTCTCTCTCTCTCTCTCTCAACTTCAGACGTCTTCAAAAGGTGATCAAAATACATTTGGAATATATTAGCAAAGGGTAATAGTATTTGTGTACAAATTAACTTTTCTACCTTAAATGCATTACTTTTTTTTTCTGTATATCCCGTTTTTTCTGCCAATTACTGATGAGCTTTTTTTATATCTTCTACCTTTCTATTCCCGCCTAATGGCTGTTCGGTTAGTAATAATGAATGAATAAATAAATGAAATAATTTTCATTTCGGGACTATACATTCACATTTAGAATTATTAAAAAGCGACCGGAAAAGCTGATAGTCTGAAAAGGTTATATCAGAAGAATATGATGGGTGTGGCAGATCGTCCCAACTGAGCTCTGTGATTGCATACATTATGTGGGAGCGTACATTATTTTGAAGCCTTTAATCTCCGTACAAAGCAGAACAATCGGGAGTAGCTTTAACAGCTTTCTGAACTTGGATAAAAGCAAAGAGTAGAACAAGTCGAACATGGTCATTCTTGTCTACTTAGCATTCCATCTCAAAAGGCTGTCTAATCAGAAATACAATTTACCAGAGTTACTAATGTTTGGTTTGGTTTGTTTCACAGCATATCAACCTCCATGAGTGTTTTAATGCTGACAAGATTTTTATTGCTGTTATTATTTTTTTTCTCCATTTCATTACTTTGTTAGCAAGGTCGGTTTTAGATTTTAATTTTAAACAAAGTATTTAGTCGTAGACAACGCTTAATTATATCTACGCCCACAGTATTTATCAAATTCAAACAATTTACAATTTGATTGGCTATTTTTCTCAGGTGTTTCTTCAAAACATTGTTCATTTTCTTTTCGTCTCATTGAGATAATTTGCATTTACGACCACATCTTCGTCTTTCTTGAGGAGATTACAATACCTCTAATAAATCTGTTGCATACTACAACAGCAAGTATTTTTCAATTGAAATATAAAATATGACAATAAAATATGCAAATTGAATAAAATGTAAATTATATTTCTTTCTAAACAATACTAACTGAATTAAGTTTCTCATTTTACTCTCTCTCAATCTGTTCATATCTATCTATTTGTTTCTCTCTCTCTCTATATATATATATATATATATATATATATATATATATATATATGTATGTGTGTGTGTGTTTAGGTAGCAATCCTTCTTTCATGCACATTTCATTGAATACGACAAAGTGTTTTTATTTAGTTTTTTATACAATTTCTCATGCGATCTAATATTTTTTTTCTTTTCAGATGATAAATTATATAAAACCTGTCCGAATGTTCTTTTTATACGAGCGCTTTCAGCTATACATTTAGCCATTTTCAAGGATTAAATATTTTAACTGTTAAATAAGAAATAGTTAATAATATTAACTATGAACATGGAGACATTATCTTGACCGTGTTTTGAAAAATGAAAACATTTTATAAAACATACATGCAGCAAACTATTTATTATGTATAAAAATTTTCGTATTCAATGAAATGTGCATGTATATAAATACATATAGTGATTTTCCAAGCGTAGCTCAGATGTGGCACAAGGCCGAAAGTATGGGGCAATCAATGAGAACTGAAGTCACTATTCAGTTGTAATTGTTCAAGCAAGACAAACTTGCTAACACCACGAGGTGCCTCTCTCTATCCATATATATATACATATGTGTGTGTGTGTGTGTGTGTGTGTGTGTGTGTGTGTGTGTGTGTGTGTGTGTGTGTGTGTGTGTGTGTGTGTGTGGACGACTACATTACGTTGGACCACTGATTCTCGTACGATCACCGAAGTTAAGCAACGTTGAGTCTGGTTAGTAACTAGATGGGAGCCTTTTTGGGAATACTTGATGTTGTAAGCTTGGATGTACGTGTGGTGATGTAATGGATAAAATCCATAGAGTTGAGTTCCACTTCCCATCGGGTTCGTTCTATTTACTTATACGCAAATACCCTTGGGAAAAGCATGAATACACTTCTTTACCCACCAGCTATGAATTGTGTAAGTTAATCATTATTATCTTCCAAAATAATTCTTTTCTGGATTTAAATAACCTTCATAAAGTTGATAAGCCATAAAAAAAACTAAAAACAAAAATCTGTCTGTAAGCTCACAGATAGACATGACCTGTCTATATATATATATATATATATATATATATATATATATATAAAAGTGAACATAGAAGTCAACACTTAGAGGCGACGATTGCATCTAGCATGAAACAGACTATCGCCTCTAAGTATATATATATATATATATATATATATATATATATATATATATATCTCTCAGCCTGTTCATAAACATATACTCTAATCTAATAAGCAACAAATATAAAATTTTATCTGAATTTCTGGAACGAGGAGTTATCGTCATTTACAATGTTTATATTCAGACTATTATCCTCATCTCTGTTGTTACTATCACAACGTTTCGGCCGTTGTGTTCTCCGATCTTCCACAGATGAATATCGATCTAGAGGAAATTCTGAACTGAACCCTTTATTTAATCTACGGCAGTAGACCGTTCTCGCTCCACTGCCCATGTCTCGGGATAAAGACAACACTCCAGATAAAAAGTGAAAGGACTTCTTCAGGTATATATCAGTCTGGACAACCTACAAAGATTTCTGACCTGAAACCTTTATTTAATCTACAGGAGTAGACACTACTCGTTCCATTTCACATGTTTAGGAATATCTTGTCTTGTTCTTATTTTTATTTAGTACTGTTCAGTTGTTTCTCACTCGTTTCCACTGAGTACAAGTAAACACTGTCCGATCCAGTTCTTGAAACAAGCCACCCCCAAAAAGTACGGCTGGAGGAACATCGAAAAGCCGTAGAGAGGTGAAACAATGAAATAGGCCATGGCTGATCATTTATATATTGAAAGGGAACGAAGTGAAAATACTGGACAAAGAGGAATGAAGAGTCAAACATCTGAAAGAATAAGCTTATATGCCAGGCTATGAGGACATCCTTAGTAGGCCTAGCATAGATATAAATATAATATGCGAGCCGCTAATAAAGAAGGAAAGAGAAATGTCAGCAAGTCTTCAAATGCAGCAGCAGCAATCAAAATATGATAGAAAGCAGCAGCAGTTGCAACCTAATCAGAATCGAAGTTAGGCTTCAAGTTAACTACAGCAAATTGCCTTATTGGATAAAAGTGTTAGTGGATTTGTTGACATAGAGATTGTAAGTTCAATCTTTTGGTCAGGTGTGTATAATTGCGCTCATATCCGAATACAAGTTGTGTAAGTAATATAATCAATATTTAAAGAATAATATTTACCTATACATTCAAATATAACAATATCCAGTAATAACGATTATTTACCTATAGACATACAAATGACCACTATATAACAAATTATAAACAAATATACACTATATGACTATTCATCAAATAATATTTTGCACCTATATATAGTACATATGTATATAGCACCTTTTATATATATAGCACTTGATAAGTATGCACTATATGACTATACACCAAATAATATAAGGCACCTATGTATATAGTGCCTATACATATATAGCACTTATATATATATATATCATATATTATATATATATATATATATATATATATATATATATATATATATATACTTTGTGCAAAATAATTGAAACAAAACGAATAAGTCCGTTACTATTTACTTTTTTAGAAGCTCTTTGATGCGATTTGCCATGGAATCCAGTAAATTGGAGCAGTCCTCATTGATTTTGAGGTCACTGTACCACACGTCTATAATGGCCGTCACGAGCTTCTCTTTTGTCATACAGTTCGCGATCTCTCTGTAAGGCTTGCCAGTGTGCTCGTGCAGTGTTACAATTTTCGTACGCTTCCTTGGAGTAATGTCCATCGCAGACAATGACCGTAGGACAACTAATCGATAGTCGAGACAATGGTGTCTGGGCGTGTTAAAAAAATTTGATTGCGCAATATTTTTCAAGGCCAAGCAAATTTCATCATACACCCTGAAAACAGATTCATATTACTTCACACCACTGCAAATGACCTAATCTGAGGAAAAGGTAGATTGGTTTTAAAACTGACTGTATGATGAAAGAAGAGAAACTAAAGCGGTTGTTTCAATTAATTTTCACAGGGGTGTAGCTCCAGATAATTATACACTATATGACTATACGTCAAATTATAAACGACACGGTCAATCTTTAAGTGTAAGCTTCAAAATTAGACTTGTAAATCAACGATTGATTTTGATATTTTATTACCCATCAAGTACTGGCAATTCATATAAGCCACTAACTAAACACTACATATCTATGCATAGAGCTATCACACACAGATTCTTCTTTTATATGATCATGGCTCTCCACAATTTCCTCTCCTTTGTAGCTCTGAATAAATTCTGTCATTTTGTTATTTCTCCTAAAGCTTTTTTCTGCCATCCAGTTACACAAACTCGCTAGGTTAGGCGCTGTTTTCCTACAAATCTCTCTTGTGAGTGTCAAATTTTCCAAGCCCTCGATCCTCATTATGTGCTGTAGAAATTTCAGCTGTCACTTTCTGATGTTAAAAATAAGTGTCCTTCTTTTTCTGTTTTTCTAAAACTTTGTCATTGGTCACATGTTCGATCCATGGTATTCTCAGTATCCTTCTGTAGAACATTTCTGTTGGTTCAAATCTCTCGTTCATCTGTGCGAAGATTGTCCATCATTTATTGCCATATAGGTAGGTGATATTACGTAACAGTTCAGTAGACTTTTCTTTGTTTCTTGCAATTTTTTTTCTCTTTCTTAATATTTTGCTTAGCTTTGAGAAAGCATCTTCACCTTCAGATTTCGGTGTCGCACTCTCCATCCTCCGTTAAAACACTTCTTTTATTTCTTCAGGAGTTCTATCCAAATTAAAGGCGCAAGTTAATATGAGTGTATAATGCAAAAAAAGAATGACGTGAATAACGAAAGAAAAGACACGTCGCTGAATCGTTTATCCAAGTAAGGACACGTTGTCAGGTGCTGATGAGGATTTGGTTAGGTAATATGCATTTAAAAGCAACCTTTAATAATTTGAGTGAATCAGGCCCTTTTTTGTTTTCTTTTTCTTTGTTGCCGTCAGAAGTGGGCAGATGATTTCAAATTAAGGAAGATTTGTTAGACTTCTCTTTAACTCTACCCTATATCCAAATAAAACAAGGACTGCTATCAACCAGAGAACAATCAGTTTTTTGTGCGTGTGTAATTACGAAGAAGTTAAAGAATGGAGTCATTCAGCATGTATTATGCAATAACAGATTATGTAAAAACACAAGTGGCTCTTTTGAACAAAGCTGAAGAAAAAAAAAGTAACATTGAGATTTAATGCGTCAGAGAAAAGGTGTGGATCGAGACTGTTAAACCCGCCGGCTTCCGGAATGTCCATCTTACGAAATCAAGTCTGGACCGAGTTCAAAGTAGCACGTGCCACGTGATTTGGCTTACACAGTAAAACATTGTTTAGGCTAGGTCAGCAGCTGTCAAAATCTCTGGCAGCCATGGGCGGAGTTTGAAAATAGGAATGGCAAAAAGGCTAATCTTTCATTTGCCTTCGATATCCCATCATTGCGGAAGAATTTTTAAGGTAGTATTTCTATCTATCTATCTATCTATCTATCTATCTATCTATCTGTATGTCTGTCTATCTGTCTATGTATCTATCTATTTCTTTTTGTTAATATACGGAACAATTTTAAAGTAGTATTTCTATCGATCTATCTATCTATCTATCTATCTATCTATCTATCTATCTATCTATCTATCTATCTATCTCTTTCTGTTAATATACGGAACAATTTCTAAGGTAGTATTATTTCCATCTATCTATCTATCTATCTATCTATCTATCTATCTATCTATCTGACTAAGCCTGTTCATATCTATCTCAGTCTGTTTATATATTTTTGTCTATATATCTATCTATTCATCCAGCCATCTCAATTTTCATATCTATCTATATATATATATATATATATATATATATATATATATATATATATATATTATAAACTGTTACATTGGAACAACCCAGTTATCGCGACAAAAAATGCATATTTGTTTCGATGTCTAAAAACGTCTCGTCAGGCGGCTAATGGTTTTAAATTAATGTTATGAACGTTTGAATTTATATTCTTTTTTCGTTCATTTTTACATTTGTATACACACACACACATATATATATATATATATATATATATATATATATATATATATATATATATATATATATATATATATATCAGTCTGTTCATATCTATCTAGATATCAATATACCGATTTGCCATTGTATGATCAGTTGGGCACCGTCTATGAGAAAAAAGAGCACCATAGCGCCAGAAATTTAGAAACGCCATGTGGTACTGCATGGAATTTGCACCGGAAGCTCTAAAAGCCGACAGTGCATTTACTTAAATACTTGTATCTATAAAAAAAAAAAAAAGAACGTTAAACATAAAAATGTCTTTAATAAATAAATTGTCGGACTTTGTCCATTTCTTAATATATGACGTCATTTGTTTACATTTGATACGCCATGAGCAGCTATGAATGTACGAGATTCATGGAAGATTGAACTTTATAAGCAGTAAATTCAACCTTGCCAACCGAACGATCCTTTGTGGCTGAGCGGTCAAGGCACGTCAGCGTAAATGACGGTTCCGTATAGGATGCAGGTTCGAATCCTGTCAAAAAAATTTCTCGGACATTCAGGCCGGTAAATGTTATTTAATACTGTTTATTATAAACAGAGCATTTACTTAAATACTTGTATCAATAAAAAAGAACGTTAAACATAAAAATGTCTTTAATATATATATATATATGTATATTGCTAAGGCTACCAGTGCTTT